GTTTGGAAGTCCACTTCCAATTTTGAAAAAGGGTGTTTGACAGTATGTGGGTGGTGTGACCTGATTAAAATGTGAATTGTCTCTCTCGGAGACTTCCCAGAGGTGGTAAGTGACATTTTACTGGCAAAAGATGGGGCTGGGGAAGGGCTGGATGCCAGCAAAATAGCTTTGGGGCTATGTGTTGCCCAAGGGTGACACTGTGCCTGTGCCTCTGCAGAAAGTTGTCTAGAAGAACTAAGAACATTCCGTCTAACAGAAATCAGCAGTTCCAAACTGTCAGGGGTGAGCAGAGACAGCCACAGAAGAAGGAGATGCTAAGAAGAGACATACAGCTGAGATCACTCAAGACAGAACTTACAAGAGCTAGCCAAGAGAGGCTAGATGAGGCAATGATTCCGCGGCTTTCTGTTGTGGATCCATAAGAGGAAATGACATTCTGTTTATTCTAACAGGAGCTTCCTTCAATTCACATTTGGCAAATTAGATTGTTTTGTTAAAAAAATCATTTGGGAAAAGACACCTTTGTTGCTTGTCTGATGTCTCATGCCCAATATGTATGGTTAAGAGGATGAAACAGACATTTAATTCAATGTGCACTTTAACCTGAAGACTCTGGGGGGCCATAGCAATAACAGTATGTAATTTGCCCCAAGAAACAGGAAGACTTTGGAGGAAGTAATTCTGACTTCTTCCTTTTGGCTGCATCCTGATCTTCAAGTAACTGAACAGAAGGAGGATCTCAAAGAATTCACCTGAAGGATGCCAAATAAAGAGTAACAGTATCAAGAAGCCAAAGATTAATTTGAGTGACAACTGAAAAAATGTGTTCGACCTGGATCCAGAAATCACAAAAGAATTTCAGATCTATGTAATTTAGATAAGCTACCAGGGGCAGAACTATGGAAATAGTAGCTTTAGAGAAGTGAACATACTTAGGAATGTAACAGCTTCCTTAGGAATAGGTCTATATTTTTCATAAACAGTCCCAAACTGAATTACAAGAGTACAGAACATTAGAATAATCAAAATTAAAATCCAATATTAGATAATGTTCAAAACAGCACATGTGGAGCAAGACCTAAGTAAAAATTAAGTTCTTAACAAACTCCTTACATATATCAATATTGAAGGGTGATGTACCACAGAGGCGAGAGGAATCCATGGGATGGGCATTCACAGAAAAAGTATGTCTTCCAGTTTCCATCAAGGAGAAATCCTCAGGCACAGCAGGACCTCCCTTGAAGATCATTGTAGCCTCAGAGGAAATGTTCTTGGAATAGCCTGGTCTGAGTTTAGCTCCAAACCAGGTCTGAGCCCAAGCCAAAATGCACCTAGATAATCAGCGTCTTGTAAATATAATGGGAGTTACATTTCCTCTCCACTGACTGACTTGAACATCTTGTCCAAAAGACAACATCTGCCACCAGGTAATGTAAGAATGATACTCCTAGACCAGTGAGCAACATAACTTGCTGCAGCTAATTGCAGCCAACTGCTTAGGTGCTGCTGCAGGTCTCAGTTGCATGCATAGTCACTAGAGATGGGCACTTAACATGGATCGGGCCCACAGGTGTTCCACTAGCATCCCAGTTTCTGTGTCCCATCTTCTCACGCAGGTGCACCATCAGAAGCAGTTCTGCAAGCCTCCCTTCCTTGCCTCCTACTCTGAGTGGATGCTCACAGGAGAAGGCAGGGATCAGGCCCACAACACATGTGAGCCTGATCCAGAGAACCACGCCAAACCACCAAATCACAGTAGGTGCCCATCTCTACTAGTCACATAAAAGACTGCAAAACTCACATGCACCCTGGTATGTCATTAGCTACAAGTTGCCCAACCCTTGCTTGAATGGCAGTCAAATACCAGCTGCTGAGTTATTTTTTGCTTTAAAAATACCTTGTAAAATCATCCGAACAAATGTCCAGTGGCTAGTGCTTCACAGCAGATGTTAATTCCCGCACTATTCAGAGACACTCTGAGTGGCCACCCAAGGATATGATGGAGCTAACAAAGTAATCTTATAGTAATCTTAATCTATAGTAATCAAAGTAAACATAAGTAATCTTCCCTGAAAACTCACAGTGTCGAATCCTTACCAACACACCTCCAGAACTTCAACCAGTCACCTTCTGCCTACTACCTAAAACACTCAACCAGGAAACCCCAGTAGATCCATTTTATCTAGCATCAACACTGTCACAGTTAAGGTTATTGGGATATGTGGACTCCGTTCGCAAACCATATGCCACTAGTGCATCTAGCTACATAAGAGATACCACAGACTTTCTAAGGAAACTTCAATCCATACATGACCTCCCTGACAACACCATACTAGCCACAATGGATGTAGAAGCACTCTACATTAACATTGAACACAGAGATAGACTAAAAGCTACCACAGATACAATTAAAGGCAAAGAAGAAGGCTACAAAATCACCACTTTCTGCAACTTTGTGCTCACACACAACTATTTCAAATAAAACCTACCTCCAGATCAAAAGAACTGCCATGGGCACTTGCACGGCACCACAATATGCAAACACATTCATGACCAACCTAGAACAACTGTTTCTCAACTGCTGCACCCGAAAACCACTCCTCTACTTGAGGTACATTAATTACATTTTTCTGACCTGAAAAGAGTCCTTAGAAAGAATCCACTGGGATTTCAGTAACTTTCTTCCCAACATCAGTCTCAGCCCAGAACAATCCACACAACAGGTACGTTTTCTGGACACCACTGTGAAAACCCAACATGGACATATTAGCACCATGCTGTATTGAAAACCCACTGGAACATCAGGCTCAGCCTGGAACAATCCACACAGCAGGTACATTTTCTGGACACCACTGTGAAACTCCAACATGGACATATTAGCACCACGCTGTATTGAAAACCCACTGATCAATATACCTACTTACATGCCTCCAGCTTCCATGCTGAACACACTACAAGATCCATTGTTTCCAGCCCTCATAAAATCTCATCTGCTCAGACCCATAGAGAGAAACTCCAAACTCAAGGATCTACAAAATGCATTCCTCAGACTACAATACCTATCCAATATGGTTAAGGAGTAAGTCAACAGGGCAAGATGGATAACCAGAAGCAACCTACTACAGGACAAACCCAGAAGAGAAAACAACCAAACCCTGCTAATGATCACTTTCAGCCCACAACTAAGACTACTTACACTCATCGTAAGTGATCTCCAACCCATCCTTAATGAGAATACTTCATTATCCCAAGCCTTAAGTCACAGCTATACTTGCTTACAGACAACCCCACCAATTACTCTCACACAATCAACTAAACAACTCTGACACAGAGATGGGGACGAAATCCTCCTGTAAATCCAGATGCCCTCACATTTATTCTGGCAATACAATTTCAGGACCTAACAGTGTCACACACAACATCAAGGGTATCTTTTTCTATTCCACTGCCAATGTTATCTATGCATTTTTAGCAACAATGCCCCTCAACATAAGAAAAATGGGACAGTCTCTGCACAGAAAAATTAATGGATATGCATTGGACAACAGGAAAGGCAATATGCAGAAACCTGTTTCCAGTCATTTTAATTTGCCCGGACACTCTGCAGGAGACCTGAAAGTTGCCATTCTGGAGAAGAAAAATTACAGGACAAGAATGCACAGAGAGTCAACTGAGATAAAAGACATACACATTTTTAAAACCAGTCTCAATGGACTGAGCCAAGGTTTCTTAGATCATTATAAAATGTAAAATGTGTTGTGTTTGCAGAAATTTACAGCTATATTTCCTTACTATGTACCAGTGCTTCCTCACAAGTCTTATTGGAGATTAGATACTAATTACCTTATTGTTTCTACTTGTTATCTATAACCTACGATTAATTTAGCTACTAATCATTGCCACTATTTACAGAATGTTGCTTCCTGGGAGGGCAACTGAATACTGATGGGAGTTTTAAAGGTCATTGTCATATCAACAACTTGTGCCCAAATACAATCTCTGATTTGGTGCCATGTATAAAATTATAAATATTTGCCATGTAATCCCACTCTTACATCTGAGGAAGTGGACTGGTCCAGGAAAGCTCACATTAAAATATAATGGCTAGTCTTTAAAGTGCGACATGTTTTTCTTTTTGTTTTGTTTCTTTGGATTTCTTATAATAACAAACTAACTCGCCTTTCCTGCCTGCACTGTAATACAGAAGGTGCCATTATGTACTCTAATACACATTCAGTTTGCTTCACATTATACCACTGACATTCTAATCACTTTCTGGACAGTTTTATGGTTGCACAAAACCAGAGAGTAGCCTGGGCTATACAGCACTGGAAAAGGCCTTATCAGCAATCTGAGAACCTGACACATCTTGCCATTCCATAGCCAAGCTAAGGCATTGAAAGGACCACCAGCATTAACTACCAGAAAAATCCTTTAGCATTGGGCATGTGCTGAAAACATCTCTCCATTTCCAAGTAAGGGAGCTGCCATTCAAAGTCTATGGGTCAAGACAGAAGTTTAGTCCTGTTGTTGATGAGGATGATGATGACAATTACAATTATACCCTGCCCTCACACTAAAACATATGGCTCAAGGGGGCTAAAAAAACCTTTAAATGAGTAAAAACAACTAAAATCAAAACATCTCTCCATTTCCAAGTAAGGGAGCTGCCATTCAAAGTCTATGGGTCAAGACAGAAGTTTAGTCCTGTTGTTGATGAGGATGATGATGACAATTACAATTATACCCTGCCCTCACACTAAAACAACTTTTAAATGAGTAAAAACAACTAAAATCAAGTATAACTATAAAAATCATAAATTCAAGAAACTAAACCCATCATTTAAAAAAAACTTAATATCAAATCAATGCATAAAAATGATTTAAATCAATAAAACATGCACAGCAGGGTGGGTTAAATATCATATGCCAAACTTTAAAAGAAGTGTTTCTACTCCTTTCTTACAATTGGTTAAATTTTAAATAAAAGAAACAATCACCTATCAGCAGGGAGCAGGCAGAAGCAGGATCATCAGTCAAGCCAAGCCACAGGGAGTTCCAAGGAGGCTTGGCAGATGGAATGGTAGTGGACAAAAAAACAAACTACAGTAGTTGTCTTCCACACTTAGCTGGCTCAGTGAGCAGAATTTACAGCTCTCCTTGTGCCTCTCCAAGACACCCAGCTGTTTCCAATTAGTTATCAGGAAACTTGTCTTTGTTTCTGCCCCAACCTCAGGCAAATGGCTCTCACACATGTGAATCTCCCTTCATCTTCTCTAAGACCTCACCTGAGTGATTGACATGGCATTCTGCCCTCCTTTCCAAAGCTTCTGAGAGGGTGCTGCCGGCTGAATCATTGGACTGGCTTCCTCCAGATGTTTATATGATCTTTGGAATCCATATCTAAAGATCTAATGCCCTACTGTTGAAAAGCTGAAACATGTCAAGGGGAAGATGTTATTAAGAAGGTTTTATGGTGGCAGTGGAATTAAAGGTATGACAAGATTTTATAATACAGGATAAACACCAAAGAGTATTGTGATACCTTAAAAACTATTTGGCACAAATCTTTGTGGACTCTCTAGAACACAATATTTCAGATTCAACAAAAGCTTATGCCAAATGAAATTTTAAAGTGCCACAAGATTTTGCCATATTTGGTCTAGGATTTGGTCTAGAATTTCACCCCAGTATAGATGGGATTTCCCTAGAAGTGGGATTTAAGAAAACTGATCAGTGTTTTTGGTGATAACTGATGAAATACAGGTGGCCGTTTCCCCATGATACAAAACATTCCTTCTGTGCAGAAGCTGTAATGACAGGGTGAAGACTTTTAGCTCACCTTCTTCCTGAGATACAGTGACTAAGAGTGTGGTCCCTTTCCAAATCACTCAGGACTAAATCCCAGCCTGTTCAATAGGGCTTGCTCTCCTGTCACCATTCCTACCGCCTCCCCTTGAACTGTGCTCTCACCAGTCAAACCAACAGTTGCTAGGGAGGCTGGTGGGAGCACCACTGAATTGGACATACCACCACACAGAGGTGACTCCTTACTGGACTGTTCTTTTCAACGCAACTGCTGCAAAACAGGCAAATCTTTGCAGTGGCAGTTTTTGGGTATGCAGTGGAGAGCTGTTCACCTATGGGTGAGCTGCACTCAAGGCTACGAGTAACATGCAACAGAGAAGTGAGATTGTAGCTGAAACAATACACTTCCGGAAAACCTGAGGACATCTGCAGTGACTTGTCCAAACACACTGAAAGCCTGTAGCATAGTTAGGGCTCTTCTCTGGTTTATAGACAAGAAGAGTTACTGTTAATCCCCTGCAGTCCCAAGTATTCTTTAAGACATGTTTCTGCCATTCCTTCTTCTTTGGGAACACCATGGACAGAATTATTCTTGAAAACGGTTGACTTAGCTTCAAGCCCAAAGTTTATTATAGATCCAGCCATGACCAAAACAAGGCAGGACTTACCTGCCTCACATAGTTACTACATGATGAAGGTAAGTGCCTGGTATTTATTTATTTATTTATTTATTTGTTTGTTTGTTTATTACATTTATAGCCCATCCATCTAATCATATAGACTACTCTGGGCGGTTAACAATATAGCATATAACATTTTACATTTTAAAATCATGACAATGTATTGCTAAAAAAACACAATGATACAAGATGGGAGAAATACAAGAAACAAACATTCAGACAGTGGATAGAGGGAAGGCTTGCTTGAACAGCCAGGTTTTCAATTGCCATTTGAAGATGGCCAGGGAAGGGGCCATGCGAATCTCAGGAGGGAGACTAGGTGAAGGTAGGTGCCTGGTATTTATTTATTTATATATTTCTGGTTTTTTCTTCTGGGCCTCCCTCGGCGTAAGGCTCCTAGACTACTCTGGGCGGTTAACAATATAGCATATAACATTTTACATTTTAAAATCATGACAATGTATTGCTAAAAAAACACAATGATACAAGATGGGAGAAATACAAGAAACAAACATTCAGACAGTGGATAGAGGGAAGGCTTGCTTGAACAGCCAGGTTTTCAATTGCCATTTGAAGATGGCCAGGGAAGGGGCCATGCGAATCTCAGGAGGGAGACTATTCCAAAGACAAGGAGCCACTGCCGAGAAGGCCCGGTTTCTTGTTTTTTCCTTCTGGGGCTCCCTCGGCGTAAGGCTCCTCAGTCTCGCCTCCTGTTAAACTGGTATAAGCACTGCAATTCCCAAAGAAATTCAAAATTGTTGTGAAAACAATTCCCCTTGCAGTTGTCCAGCTATACTAAAGAGCTGCTGACCAGGCTGAGAGTACAAGTGTAGAACAGACACCAGCATACAAATGTATCCTGCTGTCTTGCATTCCCAGATATAATTTAAGGAAGGGTGAGCAATTCAGCAGGATCAAGGGTCATTTCCCAGCTTTCTGGCAGCCTGAGGACTGCATAAACACCCCAACAGGGAGGGGCATGGCCAAAGCGACTATTTACATATCCAATATATTTATTTTTATTTATTTGTAATGCCATTGTTAGGGTAAAGGTTGTTACAACAGGTCTTGTTAATGGAAAAATGGATTTCACTGAAAAGATTGTTTTTTAAAAATTGAGAAAAAATCCTTAGTGACTAGCCTGCCTGCCCGCGCGCACAAGCGAGTGAGTGAATGAGCAAGCAAGCAAGTGAGCCAGCAAGCAAAGGTCCATTTGGTTTCCAACTTTGGGGGTATTTGGGGTCTGGAGTGCAAAAATGGTCCTGGGGTTGCATCACCCCTAAACTAAAGTAAATTGAGACTGAGGCTGCAAGTCCTCTACACACTCACATGGGTGCAAGCCCTATAGAACTTCATGAGAACTTCCTCTGAGTAGACATGTATAGGATTATACTAAGGGTCCCACTGAAAACAATGAATCATGCTATTTTTGTTTCACTGGGACCTACAGTGCAATCCTGTATATCTTCACCAAGAAGTATGTCCCAACCTACTGTTACTTTCAGGAAAACTACACCCCTATGCAGCGTTATCCACTTTCCAGGAAGCCTGTTCCCGAACTCCATGAAACTTGCTTCTGAGAAAAGATATTGCAGTTCCTGGCTAGGTCAATTTTAGCTAGATTAAATTCTAAATCCATAGCTACACACTTACTGCAAACAAATTATTGTGAATGGAAATTTGATGCATGACTAAAATTCATGTTTGCACATGTGGCTTTAGAAAATAGTTATTTGTGTGCTGTCAAGTCAATTCTGATTTAGGGGGATTCTTTTCAAAGATTTCTACGTAGTGAGTACTCATAGGTGGTTTACTTCTTCCCTTCTTCTGGAGCGCCCTGGGGCTGTGCAGCTTGCCCAAGGCCACAAAGGTTGTCCCCCTGGAGGTACAGTTGGAAATTGAACTCCCAGCCCCTGGCTCTGCAGTCACATACCTAAACCACTGATCTGTCCAGCCAGCAGAAAATCTTCAGCTATAAAATAATGTATATGAAAAAAAATGAGATATGTATTTCAAAATAAGAGCCAGCAGTTGTTTAACTCTAAAATATTTAGTAAATTCACATTTAACTACCATAAGTCTACTTTAAATAAAACGTTTGAAACATTAAAGCTGCCATTGGTTTAAAAACATGCATTGATGACAGCAATTCTGTGTTTTAAGGTCTGAAGATAAACCTCCTTTGGCTTGTTCCCAAACAGCTGTACAACTCATATTTAGTTGAATATTTGTGGTTAGAGAGCCATCTTGTGGAATAAAGTAGGTTGCCTGAGTCTAATACAAGGGGGGAGTGCAGGTTGAACATTTGCCAGTACAAAACAGCAACAACAAAGTCTGGAATTTGATGTGTCATCCTTTAAAACAGCACTTCACTGAAACTGTACATCCAGACAACAATATATTGTGCCATTTTGATGTTCAAATTACATTAGCCAGCCAAGCACAGACATTAATTTTCCAGATATTGACAAAATATGTGAACAATGTTAAAGAAACACAATTTACTCAAATTATTGGTCAGGCAGAACAACTGTAAATAAAATGTAGCTAAAAATAAAGTATATACTGTAATGTCTTTTATATTTATGGCCATGTGACTGTCCAAATGGTATCTGACCCCACCCATGTTGCAGGATACACTTTAGACCTGGTTTTCTGTACTGGAGGAGGTGTTGCTGATCTGGATGTGGAGGAACTTTCTGTGGTTCCATTGTAATGGGCAGTTCATTACCTGGTGGGATTTAGACTTGCTGGACCTCAGAGGTGAAACTTAGAGCCTCAGGGTGTGTGCACGTGTGATCAAGATGATCCCTCCCAGAAGGCTGATGGGTCCAAATGATATTCTGTTGGCTCTTTGGGGGTGTCCTGTCACCCTGGCAGGCAATTCTGCCAAAGCTCGGAAATAGATAAATGGTTAAGGCCATTGACACAGTTGCTCCTAAAGGTGTGTAGGGAATGTTTACATCCAGTTTGGATTACTATAAGGTGCTATATATGGGGCTGCCTTTGCAAAGTGTTTAGAAACTTCAGCAGATCCAAAATGCCACAGCCAGATTGTTAACTGGAGCTGGTTACAGAGATCACATACTGTAACTCCCTGTTTCAGCAGCTCCACTGGCTGCTGTCTGTTTCTGGGTCCAAACTACTTGAAAGATTGCATTTCCCCTATTTAATTTAGCTTAGGCCAAATTAATCCACTTTCAAAGTACAGCACCCTGGATTGAAGGAGCGCACCTGCAATTTGCTTTACTAGCTGCAGATTCAGAGCTGCTAATAAAATGCCCTAGAAGTTTGCTACAGCATCCTTTAGGATTAGACACTCTTGAAGCAATGCAGTGCAAGCAATGAATTTCAGCATGAGAGGCACACAATTACAGAACACAAGGCCAAATGCACATGAATTAATGGTGCTTGTGCAATATGGCTGAAAACTGACATTTGAATAGAAGTATAAAATGGAAGCAACCATGTTTAGCAAATGCCAATTAACTAGTTGGTGAAGAAATTCAATGTACTGAATAGGATTGGTCACCGTTTAGCACACTACAGTAAGCGCGTCTTACTGTATGTATTGCAAGATGTGTAACACTGTTCCATTTCATGAAAATTAGGTTTAGGCACCATTAGCCACCCATTTTCTTTCTTTCTTTCTTTCTTTCTTTCTTTCTTTCTTTCTTTT